TGTAAGTGATAATTGTTATTTCAAGTTCACTCAGATGAACGCTACAAATGACTTCAGGTTTCTGCCCAACAGAGAACCAGAAGGAGCCCTGGTAAAATTATAGAGGGGAACATGGATTTCTCAAAGTGAGGACCAACAAGAGGAAAGGCAGGAGGAGGAAGGTGAAGAGAAAGAAGAGGAAGAGGAAGAGGAAGAGGAGAATGAAGAGGGAGAGGAGGAATTGAAGGAAGAAGAACAAAAGGAAGTAGAAGGAGGGGAGGAAGTAGAAGGTGAGAGGAAGCCTCCAGGTTGACTTAGAGACCCGGTGTGCAGGGGCTGCCAAGGATGCCCGGAGGTGAAGTAAGAGAACAGAGTTCACACTCTCCTCTGACTCATGTGTCACGATGTAGTTTTAGTGCAATTCAAAACTTCTTTGCATCTACATTTACATCTCTCGTCACTCTGTGTCCAGCAGAGTGTTCTGAATGTTTGGCAAGTTGATGCAACGTTTTTCCTCTCTACACAATTTCCACATGCAAACTTAGAGTGGGGCCCACCTCCTAACCCAGCTCAGTCTTATAAGCATGTGATTCATATTATAGGATTATGGGAAACTGAAGATGAGAACACAGTTTTAACATTTGCATTGCTCATGCCAGTGGTCTACTTGGGGACTTATCCAGACTGTGCAGCTCTTTTTCACTCCCATGCCTATAATGTGGCTCTTGAAGATACCCACAGGTGAATAAGCAGTTTCTTGAATGTTAGTGAAGTTCAGAAAAATGTAGAGGAAGAAGCAGATTAAAATGTTTAGTTTAAACAACTTTTATACCTTCTTATGGCTATAACCATTGATTGGCAAGAATTCTTCAGTCATGCTTGAAAAATGCAGATTAGGGGGCTGGCACCGTGGTGCAGTAGGTTAGGATGCCGGTTCTAGACCTGGCTACTTCTTGTCCAATCCAGCTCTCTGCTATGGCCTGGGAAAGCAGTAGAAGACGGCCCAAGTGCTTGGGCCCCTGCACTCACACAGGAGACCTGGAAGAAGCTCCTGGCTCCTGGCTTTGAATCACCTCAGCTCTGGCCATTGCAGCCATTTGGGGAGTAAACCAGTGGATGGAAAACCTCTCTCTCTCTCTCTCTCCCTCTCAGTGTATGTAACTCTACCTCTCAAATAAATAAATAAAATCTTTTAAAAAAAATAAGGAAAATGTGGATAAAAAATTTATTCCATTCCATGGTTTTCCTGGTAAATTTCATATTTTGGATCAAATTTACAGTGTTTACCTTTCTTTCTTTCTTTCTTTCTTTTTTTTCTTTTTCTTTTCTTTTTTTTTTTTTTTTTGTTTTGTTTTTTTTTTGACAGGCAGAGTTAGACAGAGAGAGACAGAGAGAAAGGTCTTCCTTTGCCGGTGGTTCACCCCCCAAATGGTTGCTACAGCCGGCGCACTGCGCTGATCCGAAGCCAGGAGACACATGCTTACTCCTGGTCTCCTATGCGGGTGCAGGGCCCAAGCACTTGGGCCATCCTCCACTGCCTTCTTGGGCCACAGCAGAGAGCTGGTCTGGAAGAGGAGCAACTGGGACAGAATCCAATGCCCCAACCAGGACTAGAATCTGGGGTGCTAGAGCCGCAGGCGAAGATTAGCCAAGTGAGCCGCAGTGCCGCCAACAGTATTTATCTTTCACATATAACAAACTTCCCATCAATAAGTATACAGAAAATTTTACTGTAAGTACGGACATGTTACAGAATTTTTCTCATATTTACTGAGGAATTTCTGATAAATATACATAACTAAGATGAGAACATAGCTATAGGCTTTTATTTGGGTAGCAGATTCAAGCACTTATTTTTGACTGCCATTATTTTAATCTAGAGCTGTACAGTTTAATGTGGTTACCATGTGGCTATTTAAATTAAAATTAATTAAAACTAATTAAAATTCAGGTCCTCAGTCCCAGTAGACACATTTCAAATGCTTAACGGCCACATATGGCCAGTAGCACTGGATGAGACAGTGTCAACGGAGCACATTTTCACCATCGAAGTAAGTTGTATTGGACACTGCTGTGATCTTCGGAGATACCATAAGGAATATACTACACAGGACAGGGGACAGCGTTCAGTCTGCCTGGTTGCTTGGGCATCTGGAACAAATGGGCACTGAATTGTTTCATCAGTTCAGGCTGAGACTAAGAAAGCCAAACATTAAAAACATTTACCCATCTCTCCCTCTTCTATTTTTTGGCTTTTAGGTTTTGTGTAAGGCGATATCACAGAATGCCCTTGTTAGTTCAAGAATGCCTGGTGTTTCTAACATGGTGATGATCAGGTCAGCTCATCCAGAACACGTAGAAGGGAAATTTGGTAACTTGGGCAGGGAGTCCCACGCCAGAAACTTTAAAGACAGGAATGAGTGAATGAGCCCTGGATGCTGGAACAGACTTCGTCACAGCTGAAGGCTGTGAGTCCTAAGCATTTCAGAGGCAAAGGCCTCTTAAAAGCTGATAAAAGAAACAGACCTTCTTATCACCAGCATACTCGTTTCAGGCACTCACAGACCTCCTGGGGTCCTAAGGGAATCCCAGAGTGCTGAAGGAGACCCGTGCTCTCCTGGCGAAGCACTGCTGCTCGAGAGCCTTCAGAAAGAAGAGCTATGGCACTACTGGCATTCTGCCCCAGTGTACAGAGGGGTACAGTGCAGGGTTTTCATTTTTTTGTTTTTTGTTTTTTGTTTTTTCCTTTGCGGGGGGGGGGAAGGAAAGTAGTTCCTTTAATATTCCAGGCCCCTTCTTCAGGAATGTCATACTTATAAAGTCCTCTATCCCTACACAGCACCAGACTGTCCCCATAGTAAATGTACCAAGGAATAAACATGAATAGACTGAGAGAATGTTCAAAAGCCTATGTTTAATAATATCAATGCCTTATGTTTAGTTACAGTAGTAGAATTGAAAATAGCAGCAAAGCCCTAAACAGTAGAAGTCTACAGGTTCTGAAATAAATAAGATATGTCTCTAAAGTTATGCCATTATACTATCAATGACAGCAAGTAAATTGATTCCTCCTTATTATGACTTTTCTACTTGCTGAATCAGTACTATAATAAATAGTAGCTTAAAAATTAATACAACCCTGAAAAGAAAAGCAGTTTACATTCCTTTATATCCCTACCAACTGTTGGATTATCAAAGGTAAGGCAAAATGTTTTATCCCATATTCTTATTAATAATTTACTTTCAAGATAATTTTTTTCTAGTGTTCTGACACTTCTAAAAATTATTCCTCAAATTATTTGAACAGGTAAAAATAAATTGTATAAATTATTTTTACTAATACAATTTATATGTAGGCTATAATTACTTACAAAGCCAAAATACACTCATTCACTTTTTACAAAGAATTAAATATTCTTTTACACAACAGGAATCACGTCATTGAGAACTCCCAATGTGTTATCCTGAATGAATCAGTACATAGATAAGAAAACAAGAAAAGGGGAAATCTATGTAATTCATCATGCATCAGTACATAGATAAGCAAATGGAAAATCAATGTAAGTCATCAAATAGAAACGAAGGTCCAAATCACAGCAAAACTTTAAACTACGCCTTACATTAAGACCAAAGTATCTAAAATAGTTATAATTGCTATGTTCTCTTTTTTTTTTCATTGTAAGTATGTGTTCCTTTAACAAATTCACATTCAGATATGGATGATTAAATGCAAGATAATGTTACTCAACACTCCATCCCTCCTCTTAGAAAACTGAAGGTTTAATGATAAGGATACCACAAGGTTTCTCTTATAACTTAGAATAATCCTAAATTCAATAAATGAATAACAGATGATTGCTCAAGATTTAGAAATATTTGATAATAATGTGACAATATTTTCAAGACATACTAGATTTAATGCCAACAATTTTTTCAGTTTTTGCAGAGAAGTTCATTTCAATGCATACTTCTAAGCTATTTACTTGGACAAATTCTTCAATCTGATTATTTTACTTTTTAACATAAATGTATTTGTTCCTAATAATAAACAGTGCCTCCATCCACCTTCAGATAAGGCTACTGGACTTTTTAGTCAAAGGTGTCAATGCTTGATTTAACTGCTATTTGGCCAAAACCTTTTGTTTTCCTCAACCTGATGTGACTCTCATATGCAAGCGACCCGCTTTGCTCTACAGGCAGAGAAGCACTTCTAGCCGATAAATATCACCTAAAGCAAAGTGGCTGATAACAAAAATAATTAAATAGTAGAAGCCAGTTAGAGATCAGCATTCATTTTTCAAATTAAATGTAAAAGCCTCCTCCACTTAAGAGATTGGCAAGTTTTTACAAATAACATCAGTGGGCCTTTTAGAAAGAAACACGGCCACATTAGAATGGAGTCATTAGGCAATACATTTATTTTGAAGCCAATTAACCTTTTGTCAGAAGAATGTCGGTGCTGTAATGGCTTCGGCAGTGGAGGTCAGCCTCTAACAGGGCACGTATGACAGCCCCGGCGCGGGCTGACACAGGCTGGGAGAGAGGGGACTGGGGAGGAAGGCTCTGCCTTCTTTGTATTCTACTCTGCATTTCCAGGGAGCACACAATCTTGACCTATCCATTTAGGTAATTAAAGCTTCCATTTGGAAGTGTCCTGCAGGAAGGTGAAATTTGGGGGAGATAAATGGCTGTTGCTCTCCTTATCCAGCTGCCAGTTGCATCATTTGATGGACTGCCTGAAACAGGCTGGGCTGCTAGGTTCTCATAAAAATAGAGATGAATTGGGCAGCAGACAATTCTCCAAGGGAAGCACTCTGTCATTTCCCTCTTTGCAGGCTATAATTTAATTGTTAGTCAAGGTGGACGGCTGACACAGGGGGCTTTCTCTAAGAGCTTACCCACCAGCCTCCTTTTGCTAAGACATGACTCCAGTTTATTTACTTAGCAGCCAAGCTTGCTTGGCAGTGGGAGATGTCACTCCAGCAGGCACAGCTGGCTGTCACAGCTGTGCCCTCACTTACCTTCCAGGCTATTTTGTTTCCTTTCGAATCATGCTCAAGGGCAATTGGGAAGTCTCCTCGCTCATAAAATTTTCGAAATGCTGTAGGCTTGGTTGGTCTTTCTTTAAATGCCCCGGCAGTTGGAGGGCCTCTCACCTTAAAGGAATAAAAAAACAGGAATCAAGTTTTAAAGCATAGTTGTGGGAGGGAGAAGTTTTGTTTTGGGGGGTCTTTTTAAAATAGTTCACTTTGAATAAAAATGTTGGAAGATAAGATTGCTGGTAAGATAAAACAGCTATCTCTTGTAAATATAAAAATTGAGGGAAGAAAATTATTTTATGGTCACTATTAAGTTTCCAGTTTATTTCAAGCTACTTTAGAAAGCATTCCTAGAACTACTACCTTCTTTTTTTTTTTTAAAAAAAAAGATTTATTTATTTTATTTGAAAGAGTTACACAGAGAGAGGAGAGGCAGAGAGAGAAAGAGAGAGGTCTTCCATCCAATGGTTCACTCCGCAGTTGGCCACAATGGCCAGAGCTGTGCTGATCCAAAGCCAGGAGCCAGGAGCTTCTTCCAGGTCTCCCACGTGGGTGCAGGGGCCCAAGGACTTGGGCCATCCTCTACTGCTTTCCCAGGCCACAGCAGAGAACTGGATCGGAAGTGGAGCAGCTGGGTCTCGAACCGGCACCCATATGGGATGCTGGCACTTCAGGCCAAGGTTTAATCCAGTGCGCCACAGCGCCAGCCCCAACTACTACCTTCTTAGAAGGAAGGTGGTCCTGACTTGATGTTTAAGGAAAGAATTTTATTGGGGTATCTAGATTCAGTGTGTTAAAACTTTAAACATTTCCAGTAACTGTAAACTGTAATCTCAGGCACAGTATACTTTGTGGAATGCCAAAGTAGTACACTTACAATATTTCTTTTCAGACCTTGTATATATATGCACAAATGGTGGACTATGTTCTCATGAATATTAACAATGAAACTATAAAAACTGATAAAAATTAAGGAAAGAAAAAAAGTAGCTTACTATGTTTGTGTGTGTTAAGTTACATTTGGTAACACAAATCATGAGAAAGAAACATTAGCATAGATGAGAATCTTTGACTCTCAAAATGAAATTTTCATTAGAGTAATAGTTCCTAAAATTTTTTTCACACTTATATCTTTTCAATCTGTCTTATTTGTATCTGTACTAATTCAATAGGTTTCAAGATTCAAAATGACAAATGAAGACTTTAGAAAATTATAGCCAACTGTATTTTTCTTTACATATAGTCTAAGCATGATTTTTTTCCCTATTTGTATAAAAAAGTAGACATTTTATGTACCAGTTTAATGAAATCATTATTTTGATAATACCTAATATGGACAAGATAGGAAATAATTTAACAATATTTTAAGATCTTGCATATATCAGCTTTTAATATTTTTGTAAAAATTTTTACTTGTAGCAAATATTTTAAATTTATTTACCTAAAAATAAGATATATAATAAATGCATTAGATATGAGAAATATATTTAATGCATAAAGGTATGTATTCATAAGATATAAAAAGATACTTGGAATTGAGAAGGATATTAAGAGTTTTATTAAGAAGATTAAATGCTGAAGTGGAGTTGCAGAGTGAGGTAACACAAAGGCCTTCATTAGCATTTATAATTTACTACCGAGCACAAGATTCCCAGTATATGATTACAGAAGTAACCTGGTGATGCTGGCTGTCACCAGTGGGAAGGAAGCTCTCTTTGTTATTGAAGCTTTGAAATTTGTTGTGGTATTAGAATTATTAGCCACCATGTTCAGCCAAATTCATTCACTGTGAAATCAGCACCTGTATTTGATGACTTTGGTGCAGATCACAGCTGAAGGCTTACACAAGGGAGAACAGTTTCAACTGCACCCTCTTACGGAAACTGGGGAGCTACGACTCTTGGACTTTGCAGACTCATGGAGTGGGAAGTTCTGAATCACACTGATAAAGGATTTGCTGATTTTAATTTTGCCAAGAAGTTATTTAAAAGACAAAAGATTGCCATCTACCAGAATGGCAGCATTTTAATACTATCAAAAAATGATAGACTACAATCTAAAGCAAGAAGACTTGGCCATATATATTCAGTATGAAGGCACAAACACAAATTTATAGAAAGTTACAGCACAATATGTATATAATGGGTGCACACACACGTGTCTATGTTACTGTGGACTACTGATTACTGCTCGGCAGAAGCCTCATTTATTTGCTTATATAACTTTTTATTGTGATAATGGCAGATCCACACGCAGTTGTAAGAAATAACACACACTACGTACTGTTTATTCAGTTTCCCCAATGTCAATACCTTGGGAAGCCACGGGGATGCGTCACAAAAGGTTACTGACATTGACAAACTACAGAGCAGTGCTCCCCCCACAGAGACCCCTCACCTTCTCATACTTCTGCCCTGTGCCCACCAGCAACAATGAGCTGGTGTCAATTTCTCTAATATGGTTACTTCAACAATCATAAAACAGTGTAATCCTTTAGGATTGTCTTTTTTTTTTTTTTCATTCAGCATGAACCTCTGGAGATTCAGATAACTTGCTGTGTTTATCAATAGTTACTGCTTTTTAATGATGGAGAGTATGCAAGTAGCATGGTCGATTTATTTATTTACTTATTTTTAATAGAAAACTTTTATTTAATAAATATAAATTTCCAAAGTACAACTTTTGGATTATAGCCGTTCTTTCCCCCATAACCACTCTCCCACCCGCAAACCATTCCATCTCCTACTCCTTCTCCCATCCCATTCTTCATCACGATTCATTTTTAATTATATACAGAAAATCAACTCTATACTGAGTAAAGATTTCAAAAGTTTGCACCCACACAGACACAAAAAGTATAAAGTACTGCTTGAAGACTAGTTTTACCATTAATTCTTATAGTACAACACATTAAAGATGGAGATCCTACATGGGGAGTAAGTGCACAGTGACTCCTGTTGTTGACTTAACAATTGACACTCTTGTTTATGGCATCAGTAATCACCCGAGGCTCTTGTCATGAGCTGCCAAGGCTATGGAAGCCTCTTGAGTTTGCCAACTCCGACCTTATTTAGACAAGGTCATAGTCAAAGTGGGAGTTCTCTCCTCCCTTCAGAGAAAGGTACCTCCTTCTTTGATGGCCCGTTCTTTCCACTGGGATCTCACTCACAGATATTTTTCATTTAGGTCATTTTTTTGTCACAGTGTCTTGGCTTTCCATGCCTGAAATGCTCTCATGGGCTTTCTAGCCAGATCGAATGCCTTAAGGGTTGATTCTGAGGCCAGAAGCACAGCTGATTTAACCATTTACCACTAAAAGTCATCTGAAGGTCTTCTGTTTTTGACCGTTAAGAATAAAGCTATGACTGTTTTGTACACAACCTTTCTCAAGTTGAGGAAGTTTACATCTATCACTATTTTTTCTCAGAGTTTTTAACTATGAATACGTGCTCAAATTGTCAAATGTGTTTTCTGTATCAATTAAATACTCATGTAATTTTTTTCTTTAATCATTTATTGACATAGAGTTTTGGAGTTTTCTAATTAAAAATTTAGTTTCCCTTAACAGCTATAGAGCTGTTCAAATGATCTGTTTCCTGTTGGGTGACTTATGGTGCTTGTATTTTTAGAGGAATTGGCCTTAGCCTCTATTATTTTTATATATTAAAAAAGATTTAATATTTATTTGAAAGTCAGTAAGCGTGAGAGGGATACCCTCCATCCACTGGTTCTCTTCCCAAAAGGCCACAATGGCCTGAGCTTGGGCAGGCGGAAGCATGGAGTCAGGAGCTCCATCCAGGCTGTTTCCCCGGCACATTGGCAGGAGCTGGATTGGAAGCAGAGCATCTGGGACTAGAACTGGCTCTATCATATGCGATGCCGTTGTCACAGGCAGCGGCTTAAACTGCTGTGCCACAACTCCAGTCGTGGCCCTTGTCCTCTACACTGTAAAATTTATGAGTATAAAATTATTTATAATTTCCTTTTTGATGTCTGCAGGGTCTGTGATGATATTCACTCATGCATTCTGATGTTTGGTAATTTGTGTCAGCTTTTTTCCCTCTGCCAGTCTTCCTAGAAGGTAGCCAATTTTATTTATTTCTACAGAGGCCCATTCTTTGTCTCTATTATTTCTCTGTATTTAATTTCATCCACTTATGTTCTCATCATTTTTATTTTCTTTCTTCTGCTTGATTTTTGCTCTCCTTTTTCTGTTCACTTTATGGGAGCTTAGATTATTGATTTGAGACTTACCCTTCTTTCTAATGTCTGTATTTAGTACAATAAATTTCTCTCTCAGCTATGTTCTGTACGTTTGAAAGGTAGCACTTCATATTCACTCAGTACAATGTATTTGAAATTTCCCTTAAGATCTATGGATTATTTAGAAGTATCTGTATGATTTTTAAAAAATTTTGAGTTTGTTTTATTGTCAGGTTCATAATATATACTGGCAGGTGCTCCATGGCCACTTGAAACAAACATGTACTACGCTGGTGTTGGGTAGAGTGTTCTATATAAATTTATTTGATACTGTTCCTTGATGATGCTGTTATGCTATTCTACATCCTTGCAGATATTCTGACAGTTATTACAACAATTGTTGAGTGAGAGGTGTCGAAGTTTCTGCTTGTAATTGTGTGTTTGTTTATTTCCCCCTTCAGTTCCAACAGAGTTTGCACTTCATGTATTTGGCCACACTGTATCTTGGTTTATTTTATTTATTTAAAAGACAGAATTACAGAGAGAGATATAGACAGAGAGAGAGGTCTTCCATCCACTGGTTCACTCCCCAAATGGACACAATGGCCAGAGCTGAGTCAATCCAAAGCCAGGAGCCAGGAGCTTCTTCCAGGTCTTCCAGTGGGTGCAGGTACCTAAGGACTTGGGCCATCTTTCACTGCTTTCCCAGGAGCACTAGCAGGGAGCTGGATTAGAAGTGAAGCACCCGGGACTCGAACCAGCACCCATATGGGATGTCAATGCTGCAGGCTAGGGTTTTAACCCATTGCACCACAGTGCCGGCCCCTATTTTTATGCCTTTTTTATAGAGCAACCCTTGTTTTCAATATGGAAGTTCCCGTAATTGACCCCCCTTTTTTTATTTATTTGACAGG